GTAAGGATGAAAGGACATTTAGTTTTGCTTACGTATAGTCTGATCGGCATTTTTCTGTGTAAAAGGTCACCGCAACTTCATTTCGGAATGGGAATCTATTTTATATTCGTGAAAATCGATCCCCTGGATATTTTAAAGGAATGGTAGTCAGTCGAAAAAAAATAGACTGAATCGAACATTTATAGCTTTTCACAATATCCCATTGTTGTGTGACCCTTTTCACCGAAACAAAATCAACATTTGAGAGCTATCCATAACTGCCTACTCCTATACTACTATAAAAATCTGAAATTCTATGGCACAAAACAATATTGTTATCAAACTTCCTCTGTTTCCACCACGCCACAACATCCCAACTACACCAACAATACCCACGAGACACGTCACGCCTTATTGTCTGCTTATCTCCCACTTATATTCCAAGACAACCGCACTCATTAGATGAACTAACTTGCAACAAGTCCCTAACACCACAGGACTTGCCACAACCACCAGCGCGCGACGCCCAAAAGGAATTATCCCACCGCTTCTCTACCACACCGACATCCTGTATTGTCCTGTAGGATATATTTTACAGGAGGGACGAGCCTATTCTAACAACTATTGTACACGCAAAACTCTCCTCCTTGTCGTTATTCAAGTATATTTTTCTTTTGGAATAGAAACGTATTTCTCCATTTATAATTTGCGTTTGTCGCTACACTTAAATAACACTGATATTACGAGGGGGTACGTTTGCCGAAACTGAGATTGCAAATCAGAGACTGCAGTCAAGGCAGGCCCTGTTTTGCAAAACCCACATTTAAGCCAAGGCGTGCAAATTAGCCAAATGCCAATATTGACATTGACAAGAGGGGATGATTATACTAATTAATGTAAATTGCCCTTTTTGAAGAAGTATTATAACACCTGGGCGAGTTCCAAGTTACGGGAAATTTAACAGCGTAAAGCTTCGTTGAAACTGCTGGCTATTTTCGGTTTTATGGTGCATAATTAGGAGAGAGGACATGGTCTCATTTGAATAGATAAATTGATAGTAGTTAATTGTCTGCAATGGTCAGTAAGTCAGGTATTTGATTTTGTTCAATTCTACAATGGACAGATAGACATTTGAGAGAGAGAGAGAGAGAGAGAGAGAGAGAGAGAGAGAGAGAGAGAGAGAGAGAGAGAGAGAGAGAGAGAGATGGACACAGACAGTACACGTACACGTACACATACAGACAGGTAGAGAATGTATCAAAGCCAGGCAGACGGAATATGCCAGACATCCAGACAGACGGAGACAAACCTCCAGACACCGGGCATTCAGACGAACAAAGCCCCCGCCACTGATTACAGCCACTTGAACGACCTCCTCAATATATGCAGCTAAGCCTCCGCCGCCGCCCGCGTCCCTAGCTGTTCGTGAACGAGCCCGGGAGGCGTAACCCCGACGACTCGCTCCCCGACGACTCGACTCCGCGACGACGACCGGGCGAGCGCGGCGGGCGGCCGTCGTGCAACTGTCGCTCGCCATTTGCCTCCCGCCCGTTCTCGTGGGTCGTTTTAATTAGGGCGAACCTCTCGTTACTGCCGGGTAATTGAGCGTCGGGGAGTATGATTTACGGGCGAGCAGCAGCAGCGGTAGGGTCGCCGCGGGCCGTGTTTGCTTTGCGAGAGATGTCTGTATTCATTAAAGAGGTTTTGACAATGGGTCCCGGGGTATTGTGGCCGCGGCGGAGATATCTGATGTGAATGTAGCGCCTTTTTTCCTTTTTTCTCTCTTTCGTTCTTTCATTCATTCTCTCTTTCTTGTATTTTGAATATCCTTCAAATTGAGGTTTGATTTATCTTCGATTTTTTGGCTACAGGGAATTCTTTTGATTCCTGAGACATGGCATCCATTTTTTTTATAGATTTATTCTCTGCATGGCAGTAGTAAATTGCTTATTGTGTTGTTCCTTTGAGTCTATAGGGGAGAGGGAGAGAGAGAAGAGAGAGAGAGAGAGAGAGAGAGAGAGAGAGAGAGAGAGAGAGAGAGAGAGAGAGATTGATATTGAACAATTGATTCATTATATATGCACAATACATATGCATGAATAGGCACTAAGAGAGAGAGAGAGAGAGAGAGAGAGAGAGAGAGAGAGAGAGAGAGAGAGAGAGAGAGAGAGAGAGAGAGAGAGAGAGAGAGAGAGAGAGAGAGAGAGAATGAATAGATAATGCATACCTATATACAGAAACGCATACCAACCACCTACTATGCATGCACGTATATACATACATTACTCACCATAGATATGTATATGTATATGTATATGTATATTTATATATACATGAATGCATATGTATATGTATATACATACATACATACATACATACATACATACTACATACATACATACATACATACATAATAATACATACATACACACACACACACACACACACACACACACACACACACACACACACACACACACACACACACATATATATATATATATATATATATATATATATATATATATATATATATATATGTGTGTGTGTGTGTGTGTGTGTGTGTGTGTGTGTGTGTGTGTGTGTGTGTGTGTGTACACATACATACATATACACATATACATACATATACATATACATATACACACATGCATACATGCATATGCATATATATACATATACATATACATATACATATACATATACATATACATATACATATACATACACATATACATATACATGTGTGTGTTTTTGTGTAGATTATCGATCAGGGGGATACATATTTATTAAGAGAAAATTACTGAAAATCAAAAGATCAATCAAATACTACTTCCCGAACACATATCATCATTCTTTTATTCAGCTTTCCCTCTAAAAAAGATAATAAAAATAAGATAAAATAAATAAATAAAAATAAAAAAAGCTATTGACAATCTTTTATTTATCGATTGACACGCCCCCTCTTTTCTCTCACTTCCGCCCGTCGTCCCCCGGGGAGCGCCACAGGGGAAATTAGACTCAGGAAGGAAAATGAAACGTAAATAGGAGAGGCTCGAGATTTTTCCAGCGCTTTTGTGGCGTCGGGAGAGGATGGGGGTCTCTGTGAGGTGGAAAATTCAGGACTTTTCATTTGAATTTAAATGTCCATCTGTGAAATAGTTCGTCGCTGGCTCTTATAGATTGTGTGCCGGTCTTGGGAATGTATAAGTTTTGAGTGTAAGAATATTAATGTATAATCATAACGTTTTAGATGTAAGAATAGATTAATGTATAATCGTAACCGTAACGTTTTGAATGTAAGAATAGATTAATGTATATCGTACGTTTTGAATGTAAGAATAGATTAACGTATAATAAACGTTTGAATGTAAGAATAATCGTAACGTTTTAGATGTAAGAAGAGATTAATGTATAATCGTAACGTTATGAATGTAAGAATAGATTAATGTATAATCGTAACGATATGTAAATGAAAATAGTATTAGCTCGAGCGGTTCTAGTCATTTTTGGATAAGTCTACGGGATGAATACGCCAACTTTCATTCACTCGTCATGTGCAGATTGAAAGAACTTGAGCAGAAAGCAAGGCAGTCAGTAAACCTCCCTTCCCTATCCTTCTCCTTTCCTTTCCCATTCTCTTTCCTTTCTCCTTCCCCTTCTTCTTCCTTTTCTTATTCCCTTCCCCTCCTCCTCCCCTTTCCCCCTCCCCTTCTCTTCTCTAATCCTTGTCTCTCTCATTCTCCCTCTTCCCCTTTCTCTTTCATTTCCCCTCCCTTCCTCCCTCCCTCTCTCCTTCCTCTCCCCCCTCCCTCCACCTCGCCCTCGCTCACACACACAAGTCAAGGAAAAGAAAGAGAACAAGCCAAATATAATCCCTCGACCCCGAAGGCGAGGCGTGACCCTCAGCCACACGAGAGTCCCCCCTCCTTTCCCTCCCCTCCCCTTGCCCTTCTCGCCCCTCCCCTCCCTTCGCCGCCCTCCCCTCCCTCCCTTCCCGCTCTCCCCCCCTTCCTTCCTTCCATTTTCCCCTTCCTCCTTCCCTCCTTCCCTCCGCCCCCCTCGAGTGTTGTCTCCTGAAGTACCGGAGGCATTGCCCGCGAACGCTCTCTTGGGCACGTCCCTCCTGTCGGCCGCGGGAGGACATGCTTTCTCGGTGATGTTTATCTTTTTTGTGTCGGGAGGAGGGACGCGGAGGGAGGGGAGGGAGGGGAGGGAGGGGACTGGAGGAAGTGGAGGAAGAGGAGGGGAGGGAGGAAGAGAGAGGGAGGAGGGAAGGGAGAGATAGAGGAAGGGGAGGGTGTGGAGGGAGGAACAGAGAGAGGAGGGAGGGAAAGGAGGAAAGCTTAGGGAGGGAATGGAGGGAAACGGTGACACGGATGGGGAGGGAAAAGGGGAGGGAGGATGACAGGAATGGGGGAGGGAAGGAAGGGAAAGGAGGAAGCTAAGGGGAGGGGGGAGAGAGTGGATGGGTGACAAAGGAGGGAAAGTAGGAGGGAAGGTGACAGGGACGAAGAGGGGATGAGGAAGAGAGGTCGAGAAGGGGAAGAGAAAGGAACAAGGGGGGAGGGGGGGCGTAGGTCCGAAAGAAAGGGAGAAGAGAGAGAGAGAAACAGGGAGGATGGGGGAAAGAGAGGGAATGAGAAAGGAAGAACGAAGAAGAGGAATAAGGAGGGGGAGGGGGGAAATTTGCATATCGATCCGTTACTTTTTCTTCCTCTTCTTTTTCGTTTCGCTTCATTCCTCATTTCATTCACATTTTTTTTTATTTCTTGTTCTGTTTCATCTTATGGTAATAATTGTGGTTATTCCATTTTTTTATATCTTGTATAAAGGTCTGCATTGTTAAGACTAGCTATCATTGGTTGATATTTTTTTGTATTTTTATATATTCATCTATTTAATTATTATTATTGTTATCATAATTATTATGATTAACGTTATTAGTATCATTGTTATTATAGTGATGATAATTATAATGACAATAATAATAATGAAAATAATAAGAGGAATAATTGAAT